TCCGCCCTGCGGAAATTTTGTATGATTTCTGACATTACCAGATAAATAGCTGTGTCGCGCAAATGAAAGCAAATATGTCAATTTTGTCGTTGGTGATTTAAATATTAATTTGTTGAAAGATACTTCCATCAGTGCCGTCTTGTTATTGTTCTTAACAGCGAACAACTTCGTTTAAATGATTACTCATCTCACGCGCACTACACTTTCCACATCAATGTCAACTGATCGTTTTATGACAAACTATGAGAAGGAAAAGGTCAAGGCTTGTGTAATAAGTTCAGATATTAACGCCGATCTGCCCATATTTCTGCTATAGCTGACGCAACACGAGAGGAACATAAGCGTGACACAAATTCTCTGACTGTCCAGACGTTCAGTGATTATACCTAATATAATTAAAAGTAAAATCTCACCCTTCTGGCCATTCAAATCAAGGGTGTCAGAAAATGCCAACATTTGTTTGCTCTAGTGACGGCTGACTCCTGGTTAGTACAGTTGGTGCAGCCCTTCGCGAGTCCAGGAGAGGTCCTTGGTCGCTTCCTGCACCTGGTGGATATTTTCAACGGCAACAAGTCGCCGAGAAGGCGAGAAGCGCGCTCCATTTCAGGATAAGTAAATTTGTTCATGCGTCAATCTACTACGCCTAGAAATTTCCCGTGAATTATTTTATGCACTTCATTTCTCCAATTGTGTGCAGTGTTAAAAAGGGTAATAAACGTTATGTTTTCAGGTCAGTGGGTAATTCCCGCTCTAGTGAAGCACTTTCTACAGTCTTGCACTCACGCCCCTACCTCACAGGAAGTTGAAAAACACCTTCAACAAAAAAGCAATTTGTTTGACTTAGGTGCGATTTCTCGTACGTAAATTGACCTTATATAATTTCAATCGCTTTACCTTAAAATATTGATTTCTGCTTTTCAGTGCGTGTACAGTCGTATAGTCGGCCAACTGTTGAGCTGGAATTTTGCAAGGCGTGCGAAATGTGCTCATCGTTACAGACTCACACTCGCATTTATTTAAGTACTTCTTAAGGTCATAATGGGGCATTTCATAAAGATGGGATTGTAAAAAGAACATTTCAATATTTATATAACATATATCAACGCGAAATATATTGAACCACTCTGAAGCGATTATCCAAAGATAAATTTACAAGAGCTAGCGAGAAAACTATCGCACACACATTGGAAACGTTCAAAAGAAAAAAATCGCAACTGCTGCTGGAAAACAAGCGCTAAACAGGCTTACAAGCATTGATTTATAGTGCAGATCCACGCAGCAGTCACATGAAGTAATCGTGACCGTTGTCGTTGGAGTTATTTCACTTGTTGTTGTTGCAGCTGTTTCACTTGCCAACTCATTCTAGTCAGTTGGCGTCAGGAAAAATGGGAAACCTTTTAACAAAACGATATCTAAAATTTGTTAGGGGAGTCATGACAACAAAATGTGAGCGGGTGGTAGGATGGTAACCTTGACAAAACTTGGGTGACCCATTGAAGATTTCAAGCGAATGGGATACCTAGAGATATCATCTCTGATGGACTCTATAAAAAAGGCCGTCATAGAACACTACCTTTGCGGTGATCGAACTTCATATCCTATATGTAAAAAACCCCGGGTCAAAATGACGAGGCCACATGTAGTCAAAAAGCCGTTTGACAGAAGTAACTACCTGACAGCCCAGCCCCTTCGAGTAAGGCCTAGCGAACAGCTCGACATTTTGGCGGAGTGAGAGAATAGGGCGCATATTCCTATTTGTCGTCTTCCACGTGCCATCTGACAATGTAAACCTCCATTTCCAAACTCTGGTACTGTACCTATCTGTACATACTATGTACACATAGCTACGGGGGGGGGGGGGGGGGGCATCGGGGCTCGAGCCCCCCTAATGAAATCCCGAGGGGGGGGCAGCGCCCCCCCCCCCCCCCTGGGTCTGGGCCATGATCCTTACCGAGACGCTGTTTACGCGCCATGTAACCAGCTTCTAATAGTGGCATGTAAAAAAAATAACGCCCACGTGACATTTATTGACAAAATATATAGGAAATAGAACCCCAGCGTGCTTTCGTTATCTTCAATCTCCAGTTCTGGCGAGAAGGTAACGCGCACCACAAGCCCCCCCCCCGTACGCCGCTGTACGTGCATGCTAAGTAAGTACGACAGTGGGTGCGCCCGAATCGCCGCGACTGCCCTCAAAGGCGTTTCGCTAGATTCACTGCATATTTACAGCAGGCAGAGAACGCCGCCACAAAAAATCGTCATACAGGAAAAATGGGCAGGGTGGCTTCAATGAACACAACGTATGCATGTCGTAAATGACGATGAATCGCTGTGTACACTTGTGGTAAACCTGGGGATTCAAAGCGTTTGGCCCAGGTTGCCCCTCCGACAATCGTCAGTGGTCATCTGCACCGCGAGGGGGCCAAGGACAACTGGCCACGCGAGCGGCGGTCAGCCGTTGATGAAGGACCATCGCAGCGGATGCGCGGAGGCTTTTTGGGATCGCGGCGCGGGCGATAACGGTGATTGAAGGTCCTCGTGTTCTTGAACCGGTGTGCCTTCTCACTCCCCGAGGCGGGTAGCAGCAAGGGAATTCCCACACTCTCTAGGCTCTTTCGATTTGCCTGCACTGCCTGCACCGGCGAAGAAAAGTGTAGGGAAGTGTACTTCCGGTATGTGTCTTGAGATACGACCGGAAGTACATCTCCCTACACTTTTCTGCACCGGTGCCGGAGATGCAGGTAAATCTAACTAAGCTGCTGTGGACACCTACCAAAAGCGTTGCACCTGCACCGACGCTACCAATATTTTATTATTTTTCGAACGCTCCCATGCTTGCTCTTTCCCCCGCCGACATGAGTTATCGATTCGCGCGCGTGTATAAACCTTTCCTAAAAACGCTCCTAGGCCGCCGCCATTTTGCTGATGCTAATGCGGCTGGTGCGACTCTCGCGCCCTCTATCAGCTAGAAATTTTCTGCACTCTCTTGGACTGTGAAGACCCGCTCAGCGCGGTTCTCTACCTACGTTTTTGCGGTTTTGCATTCGACGTTTCCTCGCCCTGTTGAAAGTTTCCGCTTAATATTATTATGAGTACTGCGTACTCTTTCTGTGTTATCTTCCATTGTGAGAAATAAGGCTGGTAAGTGCCTGCAATTCAAGCTTTTCTGCTTTACATTCACGGGAAACGAAGGAGGTGAATGACGTCGAATGACCCTCGACGCTATTTTGGGAACATTGGTTTCCCCCTCTTACAGATAATCCGCGTAGAATCCTCAAGTAGTCTCCAAAATAGCTTTCCGGGTTGGGGTGGCAAACGGATCAGTCGCGTTCGTTCCCTTGCCTTGGTGTGGTTCTGAAAAAAGAAGGCCCTCCCCAAAACGTGCCCAAAACGAAGTCATCTCGGATTTCGTCCAATCGTCAAGATGTGACTGTCGCCAACTGTGACTGTGTTATTTGAGATCTTTCTCAAATAAATTATTTTCGGATGGCGCTGTATCGTGTGGTACGTACGATATATTGTTCAAATGTTAACACTTCCTCAATTATATGTCCGGGTTCTGTCCATCGGTAAACACATATTTGTGGGCGTGAAAAATGCATGCCTTTCAGCCCTCTTCTGTTGCAATTTATTTTTGACAGAAAAGCACTTTGTCATTTCACACGCGGCGAATCCTGCAGTTTCAAAACTTATCGTAAGAAAAAAGAAATACACAAATAACTAGAACTATATATTCCAGTCGCATTCGTTACGTACCCAAGAAGAATAGTTTACAGTTTTTTGTTTTATTTTTGCTTTTTTGTTTTTTTCAATTGTGGTACAATTCTTTCTCAATGTCCTCAGAAAAATACACGTACCATGAAACACAAAATATAGCGGGAAAAAACGAGAATTTAGCCGCCAGCAGTGTTTGAAACTGCGCATACGCAGGCTGCGCCGGTTGAAATCACAGTCCGCTCGGTTAGGGTTAGGGGGGACGCCGGTGAGAGTCTAGCCTCAAACTCAGTGGCTGGGCTCGAAAACGGTTTGTCTGGGGTTGAGTGTTGTTTGGAAAGGTGCATACCTGCACTTGGCAGGCCTTGGACACAGAACGCGGATCCAGGTAGCTGGGTTGCACGATTATTACGATTGTTGTCGAACCGATGACGCCAGCTGCTTCAGTTGCTTCTGTAACACATTAGATACACGTCAGCTTAATTCTCAGCTTCTTCAATTATCCGGCAGTATGCGCCGCCTGGTATTTATGCACCATCTTCTTAGAGTGAAATTTCTAGAGTAATCGCTCCATGGCTCTAAAGCAAACAAAAATAATTAAATAACTTGTGATACGATAATTGTTCATGAAACGTTCATTAAAAAATTAAGTCAATGTTGGTTTTCTTGTAAATAATGGTCTTCTGTGCATAAAAGCATATTCAAGTCAGTTTCGAAATTTCCATACGAAAACTCACATTTGCGTGGATTTGTGCGACGGTTTTCATATCGGTTAGAAAGAAAAACATTTATTTTATAAACATTACATATATAAATTGACAAACAGTCAAAATAATTACGTTCGCATTCAGAGAACACGTCAACCGGCATTGCATATTTTTTTTATTTCTTTACTGAGATATGTCAATTCCATGGCTAATTAGCAAGAGGTAGTTTATATGGTTTCTTGCGTTGTTAAAATTTCGCAACTTGTAGATGGGCGTACGCTGGAAGCTTCTTCGCGTGGTAGGTTGCGTAGCCAGTCAGCTGCAACTCCTCGTTTATTTTCTTCTTATATGCTGTGTGGCCTTTCCTAAATGTCAGTTATTTGTTCACCTCAGCCTTTTATTTTTATTTTTTTTTTTTGCACTCGCCTTGAGTAAACCAATGTCATTTGAAAGTGAAATGCCTCACGTCAAGACATTTAACAATGACGAAAGAGACAAACAATTGTATTTAGAGCTGTTTGCTTAAATAAAAGGGCAAAGCGTGCTTGAAGCGCTCCGCCTTTCGAGAGAAGCCGTAAAATGAAAGCCGACGTCTTGATCCTGATTCTTTTCTACTTAAGCCACAACTCCGCATCTTCTCCACGTTCAACCGGTATGTATCTAGCATGCGTTAACGAAATGTAACTGAGATGTAGCGCGTTTTCACTACTAGAGTTATACAAACAATTGTAAAGTTCAAGATTATACAGCTACATTGTGCTTAATATGCTATACTCAGCGTATTTCAGTTGGATTTTGTTTTGATCTAGAATGTAGACCCCAATAGGCCAAGTCGATGGGGTAATTCCCCATAAGTATCTCGCAAGCAAGTTCAACTAAGAATTATTTTCCCTAATTAGGAAAATGCTCTTAACATACGGGATGAGTAGCCGGCACCATCAAACATCAACGCAGGAATTTTGTACAGTTTGTAGTTTCACGTACAAGTACTATTGTAACATATTGTCACGGTGTGAGGCGAAGAAATGATAAATAATTAACTGAAACGAAAGGTATATCGGCAAGCTTTAGCTAAACAAAATAAAAAGCCAGCGCCGAGACAGACGAAAAGCGGGCGGTGATTTCTCCGCGTAACAGAAAGCGAGAGAAAGCGAATCTTCTAGAAGTCCGTGACCAAGCGTTGCTTTTCGGCCCCTGCGCCCATTATCCACTTTTTTTTTAAAGCGCATCGTCCCAATTCAACGCGGAAGAAAAACAAAAATGACTAATAAAAAAAGGTGGTGAGACAGAGAGTGAGAGAGAGAGAGAAACCAGTTTAGTGAAACGCCAGTCAATGAACGTCCCGAGAGAAGTCCATTTCCCCCGTCGCCCCTAGCCGTCGGCCGGAATGCCTCAGGACACAACAACAGCAAGGGCTTGACCAATGATCTCCTGCTGGACTTTGGGGTCTGGGCTGCGAGCAAAGTCTCCCAGGATTCTAGAGTGCGCGAGCTATCGTACTTAGCCGGACATCTCCATACCATGTGGTCCGAATTCGCTGCCTCATCGCTAAGTTAGCACTTTGACCTGAATACATCTGGATGCCACTTGCCGTAGAGTACGGGGTTGGTAAATATTAAATAACCACGTCTGTAATTTCCTCCACATAACCTCCTCTTTCTCAGTGAGCATTCTGTCGCTCCCAGATAAATTTGTCGGTTTAGTCTGCAGTATAGTGATTTCCTGATATGCGCGCACATCCTCTCTGCTGTTGATAGTTCCGGGCACTTGGGTGGTTCCGGGGGTCGACCGGTAAGTGAAACTTCGGCCGACCGAATGAGCCTCCTCGTTCTTTCTAAGTCCCTGGTGAGCTGGTGCCCCAACGAACAGAACTAGCTCTCTGGATCCTCCTTAAATGTTTAATAAACACATGGCAGTCTCCGTCACCCTCCTCGATTCTTAATTTCTCACAGCGTATTTGGAGTCGCTGATGACCACCTTAACCCACCCTTTGCCTGACAGCCAAGGCTATGGCCACTTCTTCAGCTTCTACCGTCTCAACGCTACTGACTGTGCAGCACGTCACCGGAGTGCCGTATTCCCTAACCGCCACGGTCGCCGTGTGCCGCTTTGCTCTCATAATCTGCAGCATCCGTAGATAGGACGTCCTGTCGACCTGTATACATAGCTTGTGATGCCTCTGCCCTGTCTTTACGTCTGCCTTCGTGAAACGCAGGGTTTCTGGGTGGCGGAGGGATTCTTATCTTCTCCCTGATCTGTCTCGGTATGTCTCTTCAGGGGACTTGCTCCTGCTTGGGCACGTAGCCGCAGTCTAGAAGTTTCCTCCCCGCTTTAGATCCGAGTATCCTTTGATGCTGCGCGGTAACGGCAGCCTCAATCAGCTCTCCGAGAGTGTTCGATGCCCCTAGCCTCAGAAGTCTGTCGGTGGACGTGTTTGAGGTGAGTCCGCACGGCGCCTTGACACTTTTCCTGATATTGATTTTAAACTTGTTCCTTTCCACTCCGTTTAGTTGGAGGTAGGGTGCGACGTACACTAGCCTATTGATTGCGAAAGGTTGCGCGTGTCTCAAGAGACTCGCCCCCTTCATCCCAGCGTGCCTGTTCGCTATTCGTCTGATGAGACGACCCATCTGATTTGCATTGGCTTTTAATCTAGCAGGCGTTGTATGATTCTTCCGGTTCGCCTGCATCCTTAGCCCGAGGACGCGGATACAGACGACCGCGGAGATCTCTTCGCCTCTGACGTACTAGTGGATGTCCGGCTCGCGCTTTTGTGAAGCCGCCGTTTTCCGGGGGGCATGAGGAACAGTGCTTTCGACTTTTCTGTCGAACATTTGAGTCCTTTGGCTTTCAGGTACTCTTCGATGATATCAATGGCACTTTGCAGGGAAATTTCAATTTGCCCGTAACGGCCCTTTTTTATCTATAATGTTAAGTCATCCGCGTATAAGGTGTGGTTTAGATTCTTAATTTCCCCGAACTGTTTGGGGAATCTCAACATCGCAATCTTAAAGAGGGTCGGTGATAACACCGAGCCCCGCGGCGGCACCCTCTTGTTCAGTTTAATGTCCTCAATAGACACTTCCCCTATCTTGAAAGTGGCTTTCCTATTCATAAGAAAGTCCGTGATGTAATTTTACACTCTTTTACCGACCATTGAGTGAGTCAAGATTCTCCAACATCGACTGGTGTCTCACGTTGCCAAATGTCTTTGCCACATCTAACCCCCCCCCCCCCCCCCCCTCGCTTTCATGTCTCGCGTTTGCTTCATTATAATTTGCTATTTGAGCTGCAGCATCACGTCGCATGCCGACAGCTTTGCTCGAATACCGATTATGGTGTCCGGATAAAGCCCATTTTCATCCATCTACCTACTCAGCCACGTCTGAACGACGTGCTCCATAAGCTCACCCACGCAGGAGGTGCGTGATATCATCCTGACGTTGTTGAAGCCCAGTTTCTTCGCCGGGTTAGGAATGTAAATAAGGTTTGCAAGTCTCCAGTCCTGCGGTATCGTCCCGTTCTACCAGGACTCCTGCATGTACGCTGCGAGGTTGGCGATAGACCTGTCGTCTAAATTACAGAGAATTCTGTTGCTCACCCTGTACGGCCCAGCCACTGACTTAGACCTCAGCTGATTAATCTCAGCTCTGCCCTCAGCCAGGGAGATTGAAATGTCTAGTTCCGAATTCTCTTGCCTCCGTTGTCGGGGAGGGGTTAAGATCCAGCGGGATTGAGGTACCTGTTCCGAAATTTCACGTGTTCATTCTTAGTTTCGTCAGATTGATACGCCAGTCTTTCGCCCCTGTTGTTTGTACACTGACTTTGCGCTATCCGGATCTAAGAGGTGGCGAACAAGTTGCCAAGTGTCCGCGGTACTCAAAATCCTCCCCGTGTGATCGCAGACGTCCCCAATTTTGCTTCGCGGGTGCGATTGCGCGCTCTTCAATTCCCTTTTTAAAGCCGCTATCTGTGTTTTGATATTCCGGTTCCATTTTTTTGTCATTGCCGGTCCTGCAACCCTTTCTTTGTGATCCAGATATCCATTAATCTCTTGTCTACCGCATCGTCGTCCCTTTCGGTTTTCACGGCACGCTTGCGCGTGAAGTCTCTAAAGTTCCAGCGCCATGCCCTGTTTTAACTGGATCTGTAAGACATGACTGCCAATTAGCAGATCCAGCCGACTTCCTAATACTTGTTGGGTGAGCTGTCCATAAGCCGATCCCTCTGCTCAGCTGCCTGGTCCCTTTTCTCCTAATTCTTCCTAAAGTTCTTCAGTGAGTTTATTATCCCCGTGATGCAGTCGCTCTGAGAGATTCTTATCTCGCTGATGGAACTGCTCTGGGAGAGTTTGAAGCATTCCTAAAATGCGTTCCTCAAAGGCTTTGCGCCATTCGTTGTCCAGGCTATATTTGGCCTCAAAGTTTGCCTCCAAATTCACTATATTTAGGTCTATCACTGTCTCTTTGTCCTTATCTATTTTGGGTTTGTCCACGTTCTCCGCCCTCTTAACCGGTGGCGGAGCCGCACTCTGCTGCTTTGTTTTTTTTTACATTTGGCTCCGGGACTTGAGATTGTTTCGCAGGTCCTGTATAAGGCTTAAAAGCTATTTGAAGCTCCGCAATCTACCTTCTCATCGCCACGAGCTGTTCTTAAGCATGCGATTTTCTGCCTTAACCTTAAACATTTCTTCAACGCGTTTATCCTAGAAGGCCCTGTCTACCCAAACCACTTTTCGGCTCGACGACTTGGGTCTCGCTGGGTTGTTTAGGGCAGCACCTCCGGTGGTCCCCGCAGTCCCGGGTTCGGCCTTCTGTTGCTTCTCTTCTTGCCGTTGCGGCAACCGCGGGAAGGAATCCGATCTCCTTCTCGACACACTCTGGTTCTTTTACTCACTCCTGGATCTCCCCTCATGCTTTTCCCATCTGCTCCTCCCCACTTCGGCCTCCTTTGCCTTCCACTCTTCCTCTTCCCCGCGCAGCTTGGTTTCCCATTGCCTCTTCAGTATCGCCTAACGGGTACTGAAAGCTTCTTCGCTTTTGCGGTCAGCTGCCAAATTAGCTTTACCGCACAGCTTAAACTTGGACTCGTATACGTGATCTACGGTGGGGCTGCCATTCCCAATCCCCGACCATTAAATTGGGCGCGGACGCATACGCCTGATCTGTGTCCTAACTCGCCACATCGGCAGCACATCTCGTAGCGTTTACTGCAGACCACGCGCTCCAGGGGTACACCGTAGCAGTACATTCACATCGACACTGTCTCGTGTTTGAAGGTTACGATTGCCGAACTGGAGTTGCCCAGCTTTTGAACGCCTAGTATCGGTGGGTTCTTCGGGTGTCCAAAGGCCTCCCTCAGTTGCTGTATTGTCAATCTCAGGTCGATGCCGGGTGCCCCAACCCGCCCGTTGTCCTCGTGCGGCGCGAGGTACGCCGTGATTTCGTAGTCGTCGTCGTCGATCTTGACAGACCTAATCTTCCAGCACCCCATGTCCGGGGTGCTGGAATTCAGGGTGCTTTTCTTATTGCCAGCAATCAGCGCGTCCTCTGCTTGCCCCTTAAGCAACGGAATTTGCACTGCCATGCGCACCGCCGCACTCAGCCTGGCAATCGGAACTTTTGCGAGCGCCAGCCCGTTCTTCGGCCGAAT